AGAAAGGGGGGGGGGGGGGGGGGGGAGTTTCACCCTAGATCAAGAAATCCCAATTCTTCGATTTGGAGGTTGATTTGGACTTGTCTTTTTGTTGAAATCATATTACTGATTTATCGATTATTTTATCATTTAAAATTGATTATGAGTATACAAAATTTGGAATTTTGTGTCTAAAGTTACAAAATCATATTTAAAGGTTTTGAAGGTCGAAGGGTTATTCAGACGGGAAGGACTTTGATTTGATCGTTTGAACTCCATTTAAGGCAAGTTGAGGCTTTCTTTGACTCTTCTTAAAGTGTCTATGTGTTATATGACTGCACTTGGGAGTGATGACAATCTCGCATAGATGAGGTGACGAGCATCTATATGGGTACTGTTGTTATTGTGAAGGGTTAAAACCAAGGGAGAAGACATAAGTACCCCTACACTATGATCGAAATCCTAGAGACACCCCTTAACTAAACTAAGATCCTTTTATCCCCCTGAACTCATTTTATATATAATTTTGTGCACCTTTTGGCCTATGTACTCCGTGACTCCACGCAATTGAGGCGCGTGGGAGATACTTGGATGCCACGTAAGCCAAAAAAGGTGTACAAAATTACAAAAAAAACGAGTTCAAGAGGGTAATAGGACCTTAGTTTAGTTAAGGTGTGTCTCTGAGATTTGAGTCATAGTCCAGGGGATACTTATACCTTTTCCCTAAAAACAACTAATTGATTGGTTTGCTTAGTTTTCTTGATATTTTTGAAAAGAACTACTCCACCTGTACCTAGTGGTCTTTTATTAATAATCAAATAAAAATTCTCAATTGGGATAAGTACAAGCAAGGAGGGCTAGACCTTACCTTACCAATCCCAATAAGGTTGAGAACCTCTACTTTTAACAATCATGAAGAAAATAAGAACTAGAGATAATTAGGTAGTTTATGATGGTATTACATGTGAGGATGCTTAAGTAATGCAAAATTATAAATGCCAAGAAGAAAGTTGAGTTATCAACCTCAAACTTCCTTTACAAATGGATGAACTAAAACAGATTGATTGCTCTTCTAAAGTATCCTGGAGTATTTTTCTCTTGTCTTCTTTAAATCTGTCCAATAGCTTTTGATAGTTCATCACTTTTTCTTCGGTTGATTGGATCTTGTTCACACTGTCATGTGATTCTGTTTTGCTAGTCGCATCGGTAGGTGCCTTGGAACAAATTCCTCACTCATCTTACCATCCCAACTAGGAGAAATATCTGCATTCCTAATTGCATTTGCAAAACAATGATCCAACACATCCTCTTCTTCACCTTCCTCAAAGATGTCCTCATCTTGTAGGTTATCAAATCTATTTGGAGAGAAATGACTACTTCCACCAACTTGTAATTGTTTTTTAGTGTTAATAGGTGTTAGAAAAGTAAACTTTTCAACATCGAAACTCACCAAATGATCCCCTAAAATTGCAGCAACATCAGTTGATGGCAAACCCTTTCCCAGGCATTACTGATTTGGCACTTCTAGGAACCAAAATAGGAGCTGCAGGGCTCAATTTGTTGTGCTTAGGAGGAGAACTCACCCTCTTTTCCTCTTCATCTACTATATCTGCCCACCTCAAAGCACTTGTCGCACCTTGTTGTTCCTTTCTAGAAATAACCATTTCATTTTTAGAGAAACTGAGATCTTACCTTTCTAAACATTTTGGTCATTCCTTGTAGACATTAGCTGCTGCCTCGAATACCCATGTTGCTCACCCAACAGTTCCAATGATAGGGAAGGAATCTCTTGTATTGAGGCATTTAAGCTGACAAGTGGTAGATTGTTCAATGATTAACCATAGTAGCAAACTGATTTTCCTTTAATGTGTTAATCAATAACCATTTTGAAGTAGTTGGATTGATCTAATACACAATATTATCCAAAAGAGCATCAAAAGTGTTGAGACACGGAACCTCCTCTGGAACAATTGCTCGAGCACTTGAGTTTTTAGCTTGACTGCCTACAATTTGCTGCATTGTGTTACGAATTGGTGAACCAATTCTAACACCTGGAGAGTTTTTCTTTGTCACCACAGTCCAATTTGAATTATGTACCAATTTCCCTTCAGTCGCATTGTTAGATTGATGTACTTGTTGGCTGTTGGCCAGAATTTTTTACAAATGGCGCCGCAACTAAAGCTTGATTAATTACACTAGCATCAGTCAAACTAGTGTGCTCTTCGCCTACACTTTCACCCAGCTTAGCAGCAACCTTAGCCAACTGATCCCTTTGGCCATCACCTATTGATTGAAACTGTGCATTCCCAGATTTTGATACACAATTTGCATCTCCTGTAGGCTCGTTTCGCACATCCCCAACACATGTAGAATCAGCAACATTCAAATTAGAATTGCTGCACAAAATTTTCACTCACTTGGACCACCAAATCACGCTCATCATCGTCCCCATTAACACCTCTGTGTCCGTATTATGTTTAGGTGATGGGTGAGGGTGAGCTCACTCCTTACATGAATGTCTATGCAGATACCATTGCAGAGGGTGAGACTAGTGGCTGGCGAGTTCATTCGCGTGGATTCTGTTATTGAGGCTCACCTCACATTATTCATGGAGGCTAGTGCTTCAGCTCTATCTAATTATAGCTTATGACTTCTTTCCTTGGGATTTCCATGCCCGACAGTTGAACTCATGTAACTCTAATAGATGCTCCATGGTCTTATTGTGGGATTTGGGCTAGAGATATATTATTTAAGTAATCTTTTCCTTTCAGTAATCGATAAATGATTTTAGTTGGATCATTATTTTTTTAATGAGTATTGATGAGTTTTGGAGTTTCACATATTTTATCTTTGTGCTTAAATGATTTGGTAAGTGTATAGTGAAATGCATAGTGAAAATGCTTTCCTCTTCTCCAAGCTTCAAGGACAAGACTTTCCTATATATAAGTTGATGTAGTCTTGAGGATAAATAACTAAGTGAAGTAGTAAAACTTGGCCAATTTTCAAATAACCTCTTCCGACTTGCTTATTTTGTAGTATTTATATATATTTTTATTCATGTATCCTCTAATTAATTAAAGAAGGCTTGTTTAATCTTGGAAAGATATTTCACACTGCTAAAATAATTTCTTAGCACAGTGTCCAGCACGACTCAAGTATTATTTATACATATTACTTAAGAAACTTAGTAGGCATTTGGCCATGCGATACCTTATCACGATATGGTATCGTGAGATGGAATCAGCGTTTGGACATGCGATTTTACGTTGATTCCATCTCATGATTCCATATCATGAGAGGTGATACCATATTCTCCAAAAACCATGATGTGGAATTATATGGTGATTCCATATCATGATTTGAGATATTTTAATACAATAATTGATCCATGAGTTTATATTTTGTTCAAACAACCCACATTTATATCTACTAACCATTTGTTTCATATGTAAATAAAATTTATAATCACATCATTACTTTTTAAAATTTATTATTCTCACCAA